CTGTCCCCCTGCCAATACAGACTGCGTACGGTCGGTGAGGAAGGAGGAGAACCACCGCATAACGGTGCCTCCCACTCCTAACCCACCGAGACGCCGCAGCATGATACCGTGGTCTACAGTATCAAAAGCCGCTGAGAGGTCCAAAAGAACAAGGACAGAGGAATAACCTCTGTCCCGGGCCCTCCAGAGATCATTAACCGATGCCTCCTGCCTTGACTGTGTCCAGGGAAGAGAGGGCAGAAGCTTGTCAACGAGGAAGGCAGATTTGCTTAACGACCGTGTTGCTCACTTAACAATGGCAGCGATTCGCTTAACCAATGTGGCAAGGAAGGCTGTAAAATGGAGCAAAACCCACTTTGCAAATTTCTCACTTAGCAACACAAATTTTGGGCTCAACTGTGGTCGTAAGTCGAGAACTATCTGTACATAAAAAAAACAGCTGTGAATTCCAGTGCACTGTGATGTAAAAGAAGGCCACTTTATACGATTGGTGGACTTCAATTCCCAGAATCCCTCAGCCAGCTACAGGGAAAGAGGCATGAGAAGGTCAGGGTGTTTCTCTGACGTTTTCCTCCTCCTCCTCCGTCTCCAACCCAGGGTCCCTCAACGAGCTAATCTGGGGGTCCCAAAGGTGCTTTTTCAAAAGGCCACTGAGCTTTTCTTTGTTTTTTTTTCCTTGAAGAGGTTTCACTTCTCATCCAAGAAGCTTCATCAGTTCTTCGGTTTGGTTCGGTTCCATTCGTCAGAACTGAAGAAGCTTCTTGGATGAGAAGCGAAACGTCTTCAAGGGGAAAAAAAGAAAAGTCAAGTCCGGTTGCCTTTTGGAATAAAAGCAGCTCTGGGAGAACCAGGAACTGGATGACTGAGAACTTCCATAGACAGAAATGTGGGGGTCTTTTGACATAACGTCCTCCCAGGCCACTCTGGTGAAGAGTTGGGAGGTGGGAATTGTAACCTTTTTTGGGGGGGTCTCCCTAGGCATCAAGGAGAGAAGCAACCTAGAACTAAGGAGAAACTTCCTGACAGTTAGAACAATTAGCCAGTGGAACTACCTGCCTCCAGAAGTGGTGAATGCTCCAACACTGGAAGTTTTAAAGAAGAGACTGGACAGCCATTTGTCCGAAATGGTGTAGGGTTCCTGCCTGAGCAGGGGGTTGGATTAGATGACCTCCAAGGTCCCTTCCAACTTTATTATTATTATTATTATTATTACTATTACTATTATTATTATTATTATTATTATTATTATTATTATTATTATTATTATCTTATGACAAAGAAGAATTTAAATTACTATCACAGTGGTGACTTTCTAGGAAATTATTCCACTGAGCCGAAAAAGCAGGAGGGCCAGTCCCCAAAGCTCTCCCTGATGCCAGCCTGTCCCAGCTCTCCCAGTTCAACCTTTGCACCTGGCTGCTGTCTTAGGAGAGCACGGCTTCTGACTCCCCAGCCAGCTTCCTTCTAGAAGATTCTGTTGCCCGTCTTTAGGCCAGTCATAGCCCAGGAGGAATCATAGGAGAGATTGACGGAGGAGCTGAACGGTCGGGAAGAAATAAAGAAATAAGACCAGCCACTTTGCTGTATCCCAAGGCTCTCACCAAAATTCAGCCCTGGACTTGGAGGTTCCCCTGTTTTACATTTTGGAGTGTGTTAGAAGCCCTCTGGGAATTATCCTTCTCCATTTCTCTGCTACCAGCTAATATTGGCCTCATCCGGTTATTGGGCTCCCCCCAAGGCAAGCGGGTATAACTATATTATATAAAAAAAGATGCTGAGACTCTAGAAAGAGCGCAGAGAAGAGCAACCAAGAGGATCAGGGGACTGGAAGGTAAAACATACGAAGAACGGCTGCTGGAATTGGGTATGTCCAGTTTAACGAAGAGAAGGACGAGGGGGGACATGATAGCAGCCTTCCAGTATCTCAGGGGCTGCCCCAAAGAAGAGGGAGTCAAGCTATTCTCCAAAGCACCTGAAGGCAGGACAAGAAGCAACGGATGGAAACTAGTCAAGGAGAAAACCAACCTAGAAATAAGGAGAAACTTCCTGACAGTGAGAACAATTCACCAGTGGAACCTCCGGCCTCCAGAAGTTGTAGGTGCTCCATTACTGAAGGCTTTTAAGAAGAGACTGGACAGTCATTTGTCTCAAATGGTATAGGGTCTCCTGCGTGAGCAGAGGTTGGACTGCTAGAAGATCTCCAAGGTCCCTTCCTATCCTGTTATTATGTATTGAGGACCCACCACCTTCTGCTCCCTCCCGTAACCAGCTCCAGAGCCCGAGCGAGCGGCAGCCTTACGTTCGCACTCTGCCACGTCCAGGCTGAACTGCTGCAAGGCGCCCAGGGACAGCTGTCGGACTTCGGCTTCCAGGAGCTGCTGCATCAGCGAGGTGGACAGGTGCTTGCAGGCGGACATGCAGGCGGTCTGCGCTACCTTGCCCTGGAAAGCAAAGAGAGAGGCCTCCAGGTGAGTCTCAGAGCAGGAGGAAGAGCTGGCAGCGCACCTGCGCCCGGCAGCCGCCTTTTCTCAGGCCACCTCCCCACACGCCATTCGTCCCCCGTTTGCACCTCGTGCGTGTTCCCCAACTGAAACAACCCACCACAACGGGCCCCTCAGAACAGA